AAATATATGTAAGAATGTAGAGAACTTTCTTATGTCAGCTTACTTTTGACTCCTCTTGCCTTAGATGAATGCTTCCCGCCCTTGTTGCAAAATTTAGTGAACATATTGTTTCGCATAGATCTTCCTCTTTGGGACTAACATGAACGAGCATCAGAGTTTTCGAGTCCTCACCTAAAGATGGAAGGTTGAAAATGAAGGATATAAAAAGCAGCATTTGAACGAGAAAACCTTAACATGCAATGTGTCGCATTTAGCAACAAAAGCTGATAATATATTAATGTAACTGTTGCTATCTTCTATCTCGACATTGTTTGGAATAATTGTATCAATTTTATGGTTGTGAACAAGAACGATTTTGGTTAAAATCTTGATAGGATTATCCTTATTGTTAACCCTCTTTGAAGATATACAAGCATGGTGCAAAAGAATGCCAAATGTGGTTATGTCCTATCATTTCCCTAACCAATTGTACCTCATGGTGAACATCAGGACGGATGTCTGTATAGTAAGCTATTTATCTCACAAATGACAGTATAAAAAATTCAGTGAAGAAAATAATTACCGAGGGAATCTTTAAGAACTTGCGTCAGCTTGCTGTTCCTGTGAAAGGTAGCAGTTTGTAATTTAGGGTTTTATATGAAGATATGGAGGTTTCAACTGTAGTTCTCCCCTCTAAAAGTAAAAGTTTTCATAAATAGCTATTCTTTATTGCTATTCCCTAGTCTTATCTGTATAAATGAAGACTTATCTCTTTTATATGTAGAAAAAGGTGAATATGAAAAAAAAAAAGCCTAAAAGAATCGTACTGAGTTAGAGCTTCATGGTTACCTGTAAGGTATATGGTGTTTTTTCCTTTGAAGAGCATTAATGACATCACTAAGAGCAGAAAGTGACAAATTAATGGCTTTCCCTTCATCAAGTCTTGTACCCGATGCCTTCGTCTTCACCACACGCTCACTTCCTCCCAGATCTACTAGCCAAATTTTATTTTTTCCCGGGCGCCTCTCAGGTGCATCAAAACAAGTAATTGACATACGAATCATGCTATTAAGAGCAATGAGAAAAGGGCTGAATTCAAAACCCAATAGTATGGCTTATGAATTTTAGAACTTTTGGACATTGGGCTGACTACTATTGACTTCTATGCATTTCTCTTAAAGTAGTAACATGAAATGATAGTTACCAACTCACCAATGAGATCTACTTGAAGTTTGGTTTGAATTTGTAGATGCAGTTGATCTGAAGCGGCATCCTAGTCTATACAGCTTCAGAGCTTCGTTC